AACAAAATATCAAAATATATATTCTTACCAATTGATGTAGACACGTTCTGTTCAGTATAATCTTTAGATATTTTTTTATTTTAGTCAAATTAATTAATAAATTTCTTATGATTACATATAAACAAGTATTACTTACTATTTGAAATATTAAGACTGTAATGCATGCTGTTATAAGCTTTTTTTAAAAAAAGAAAATATCGAATTAATATTAAATTAAACATTAATATTTAAAAAATTTAAATGACAACATTTAAGTTAAAAAGAAATAAAAATTAAATTTAATTTAATATTAAACATAAACAAATTAATAAATTACCTTCAGTGACATTTCTTGGTTTAGGTAAATCCTTAAAAGTGTGAAGTTACTAAATGTTGTTCTGACTAAAGAACTATTAGAGTTTAAACTTATATTAGGTTTTGCATTTGATTGTGTATTGTCAAAATTAATGTTTTGTTCTTCATTTTCATTTTGATAATACGATTTTCATATTGCTTTAATTTTATCATTAAGGTTTTTAATATCGTGTCTCTTTGATGAATCAGCATCCCAACATTGACCATTAAATTTGCATATTCCAATGGAGTTCCTGTTACTTTATGTTGTCTCATTCAATTCATTATTTTCATTACTAGATCATAATCATGGCCATAATAAGAAAAGGTGGTTGTCCAGATGAAATCTCCCACATGAGCATGCCAATACTATAAATCTCTGATGCAAAAGTATATCCTTTTCCATTGATAACTTCAGGCACTGTATAAGGAAGATTTCCATATATACTTCCTAATGGCTTATCAGCAAGTCCACAAAATCCAAAATCACTAATATGCTATCTATCGCTATATTCTGAATATAATATATTTCCTGATGTAAATCTCTATGAATAAAATTTTCATGATGAAGACGTGCAATTGTGTCACTTATATATGAAAGTATACTGAGTCTTTTTTTCCAAGTCAATTGATTATGATTTTGCAGTAAATATTTTCTTAAGTCTAAATCCATTAAAACCATTACAAGAAAATAATCTTTATTTTTTGGATCCTGAGTAAGTCCACAACTTTGAATGAAGCATCCCCATTTACTGCTTAAAGTTAATTGAGATTCAGCCTATAAATCAGAATACTAATTAAACAAAATATTATTTATTCATTCTTATAATAACTTTAAAATTACATACCTCTTCAAACCAGATTCTGTTAGCACTTTCAATATTTTCTAATCTTTTGAGTATTACTTTTGAATTATCGACTCTTGTTAATTTTTGATCGATAGAATCCCATTTTGCATAACCATCAAAACTGCTTTATAAATTTCAGAGCATTCACCTTTAGTTAGATATTCAAGATTTTGTATATTAATGTATGGTATCCATTCAACTATTCTATATGGAAGAATAGCTTCTGACTGACATTTTTGTATTAAATTATCAATTACATTATTTCCGGATGTCCATTCTGGAAATTTTGCTTTTAAATAACTTCGAATACATTACTCACAATATGATGTTGCTAAACATTCTAGTTTGCAGTTTTCACAAACTCTTTTTATTCCTTTATTTGTGGTAACTTTATAGTAATCTTGAGACTGAGTTAATATTTGTATTGCCTCTGATTTTTCTTCGTTTGTGAGTGATGAGTTCGTGCAAATGGTTTATTGTTTAAATTCATACCGCTTATCCATGTCTGTGTTATAATCAGTTAATGCATCTGCTCTATCAAGTGCAGCGTGAACCAATTTATTATTAATAAAGGCCATAATAGAAAAATATATTTCAGAAAAAGATAAATGATGTGAATACTCCGGCTTTATACCAATAGAATAGATCGATGCTGTAGTACATATGTTACACATTCGCAAATTTGCATGAGTGTAACTTGACTGCATGTTATATTTCCTTGAAAATAATTCATATGAAGAAGTTATTGAACATCAATGTTAATTATATTATAAATTTTACTATATAAATTTAAGATAAAATGTTAATTTACAAAATAAAGAATAATAAATATGTAAATTTTGCAATTATATTATTGCATTTCATGATATATTTTTAAAATAAAAACAAATCAAAAGCTTTTTAAATTTTCAACAAAAAAATTAAATTAATACAAATGTAATGAAACCTATTTTCATCTTATCATATAGTTTACAATAATACTTTGTAATATATTTATGGAAATCTAAACTAGTTGATCTGCCAAAATGTAAATTAAATTGTGATTATTCATAAGGGATAAAGTAATTTTAAATTTCTACGAATTTTGTTCGAATATTCCCTCTTAATTATAAAGACAAATTATTTTTTTTTTCTTTATAGGCGAGAAATGAAATTATAACTAAAAAAAATTCGATTTTGTGATAAGTAAATTTTTTTTTGATATTATAGTGTCAAAAATGTCAATAATATAAATAAAATAAATAAGCTATAAAAAAGTTCGTATATGAAAATACTGCAATCACGTGACATTTATTGTATATAATTAAAAAGATGAAACTTAACTATCTTCTTATTAAATGAATATAATTTGGAAAGTTTCTGTATTATTTCATGATAAGTATAAAATATGCATTATATGCAGTGTTGAAGTTAATAGTAAGTGTTGAAGGCGTGATCTATGCTGCGCCGATCAACTACAACCAATCATGTGATTTGAAATGTTTGGCCGATCTGACTGATATGACAAATTGGACAAATC